CACTCTTCTTCTTCTTTTTTTTTTTTTTTGAGACACAGTCTCGCTCTGTCGCCCAGGCTGAAGTGCAGTGGCACAATCTCAGCTCACTGCAATCTCCCAGGTTCAAGCAATTCTCCTGCCTCAGACTCCCAAGTAGCTGGGATTACAGGCACACACCACCATACCCGGCTAATTTTTGTATTTTTAGTAGAGGTGGGGTTTCACCATGATGGCCAGGCTGGTCTCGAACTCCTGACCTCAAGTGATCTGCCCGCCTCAGCCTCCCGAAGTGCTGGAATTACAGGCCTGAGCCACCGTGCCTAGCCAGCTTTCTATTCTTTAACCTTTGCTTCTCTTTTCCTCAAAACAAAGTATATTGAAATAGTACACACACACACACACACACACACACACACACACACACAAACAAACAAAAAGAGTGAACAGGAGCTCCCCTGGCATCAGAAGAGGAGAAGCTGGAGTCCCTGGAGATGGAGAAGTGAGACGGAGGGGAGCATTAAGGCAGGGCCCTCAAGGTTCGGTCCTGGAAGCATCTCCGTGGGGACCCTCACCAGAACCTGCAGAGCAGAGAAATGGACAGATTCCCGACCTCGCCTAACCCCACTGCGTCAGAAAGCCTTGGGATTCATGTTTAACAATCACACTCATGCACATGAAAAACCCAGCAACCATTGGCTTGTGACATTGCTGCATTCTGGAAGAATTAAGTCCCTTTCTTATCAGTGTTCAAGTAACAGCCACATCCAACTATAAACATTACAGTTCAAAAACCACATCAAATTATACAGATTATAACCAGAAGGTTTAGCTCTGAAATGAGCGAGGCTGGTGGCCGAGGTATTCCAGCCCTGTCCATTGCAGGCAGGGGTGGGGGTAGATTCTGAAAGGAGCTCCTGATTTCTGCACAAGGCAGCCAGGGAGCCCATTTCAATAGGCAGGTCTTCCACTTGATGAACATCCGTCAGTGGCATCTTCCCATTGTTTTTCAGATAAAGACCAACATTCTTACGGTGGCAGGAAGGAGTCTTGCCTGCCTTTAGCTCTCCCCCTTCCCACTTTGACCTCCACACACTGGTTTTCTTTCAGTTCATCAGGCTCGCCATATGCTCTACCACCCCAGGGCCTTTGCACACACTGTTCCCTCTCCCTTTGTCTAGTTAAGTCCTTCTCATGCTCCATATTCCTTTCCTTTAGAGCCCTGACATAAGCTTGAAACCATCCAGGCTCTGCAGATCCTCTGACCTGTGTGTCTCTCCTAGCAGCTTCCTGATTGCAGGACCATGTGAGTGTCCCCAGGCTTACCTCTGTGCTGGGGCTCCAGGCAAACGTCTGTGGAATGAATGAGTGATGATAACGGCAAAAACCAGGCTGGCTAAAACAGGCTTCCTATTGCCATTAGGAAACCAAACTCCTTTCATGATACAGAAAAAAAATGTCTGGAGGGCAAAACTCTACAAATACCAATATTGATTGTCCCTGAGTCATATGATTACAAGTGATTTTTATTTACTTCTTTACAGTTTACTTTCTCCCAATTTTTAAAAAAACAATAGGTACATAATTACCTTCCATTATCAGGATACGTGAACGATGTCAGATTATAATATCAATAAGCAAAAAAAAAGTCAGCTTTGCAAATGAATACATTAATAAATCCTTAGAAGCATAGCTCCCTATTCTTTAGGATTTATCCAAGTAAATAAAACAATCTTCTCTCTTTGTTAGGTGTAAATGCTGGGTAATTTCACAGCTGATGTTTTTTTTAAGATTCCTGAACTTTATTTAGTGGAATGGCTTCTAACAGCACAAATAAGACAAATGATAAATTGACTGTTGAATTATTACTCAGGGTGGCTTATAGCTAATCAAGCATGATTCTCGGGTTAATCAGAAAGGCCCAGTGAAGGCAGAAGAGGGGCAATTTTCACCTTGTCTTATAAAATATTTTCTGAAAAATATGGACACACCTGTAGGTTTCAGTTCTTCAAAACAGACCTGTGTCCCCCACATCCCTTCTTAAAGCAAATCTCCTCTCCCAAATCATTTAAGCTTTGGGAAGAGGATTTGTCTAAGAGAAGATATAAAAGCCCATTAAAAGTCTATTCACAAAGCATTTGGCAACTCATGTATCATCTGTTCTCTCGGGAGTCAGTGCAAGCTCATGCTTCTGGATATGCAATTGATTCCTTCATAAATCAATGGAACTGTTGCTGACGGTGGTGACTTACTTTTTAAACTAAGGCCAAGGAGCAGTAAGCAGTCAATTATTTTTATACAATCAATGCTACTCAATTTCTGTCTATATATATAATAATTGTCCTCATTAGTTCCCGTTTCCAAATAGCTTGTTAGTATCAGTGGATACCCGCCTTAACCCTGTGAACAAAAATTTTCTGTCTCCACTTTATGCGACCATAATAATGATTGTGGTGTCATCTACTTCGTACCATATGCCAGGTACTTTATATGCATTTTCCCATTTAATCCCTACAGCCCTGTGAAATAAGTGGTTTATAGATGGAGAAAATGAGCTCAGCATGATTAAGTAGTTTGCTTGAAGTCACGCAGCCAGAAAACAGTGTAAGAGATTCAAATCCAGGTCTACCTCCAAAGCCTGTGCTTTTAAAAATTATTACAGTTTTCTAATATCATAGTCCAGTTCAAAACAGGGATCACTGTCTCTACCACGGCCACCCAGAAAGTAAAACTACCTTAAATTTATCCCTTGTTACAATACAGAAGAAACTACAGTTCTTTTTATTTGATTTTTCCACTTTGTACACTGAACGGTTTTCTGTGTCCTTGTAGAGAGACCATGTCACAGATGAGAATCTCAAGGGAAGGTATGTTGAGTTATTTTAAAATCGATTGCGTTTATAACTCTTAGAAAACTAGAAATGCAGGGGGAATGCTCTCCCTTTGATAAAGAACACCTATTAAAAAACACCCTACAGCTAATATAATATTTAATGATGAAAGACTGAATACTTTTCCCTTAAAATCAGGAACAAGGCAAATATAAAGATTTATACTGCTCTCACCACTCTTATGCAACAGAGTACTGGAAGTCCCAGCCAATGCAATATCTCAAGAAAATAAAATTAAAAGTGTACAGATAAAAAAGGTAAAAATAAAACTGTTTTAATTTGCAGATGACATGGTAACACCCTAAGCAGGCAACAAAAAAACTTCTAGAAAGTTCAGTTAAGGTTGCAAGATACCACATAAGCATACAAAAATCAATTATGTTTCTATACACTGGCAATGAATAGGTGGCCGCTGAAATTTAAAGTATAATACCATTTAACATCACAAACAAAAGAGGAGAAATTAAGTGCTTAAGTATAAATCCAGCAAAACATGTACAGGATTTGTATGCTGAAAGCTACAAAGTATTCATGAAAGAAATCAAAGAAGACCTAAATCAATGCAGAAACATACCATGTTCATGGATTGAAAAACCACATAGTAAATATATAAATTCTTCCCACATCGATGTATAGATTTAAACACTATTTCTATCAAAAGCTCAGCAGGACATTTCATAGATACAGACAGATTTATTCTAAAATTTATATGGAAAGGAAAAGGAAGCAGAAGAGGTAAGACAATTTTTTGATTGCTACACACAAATCTATTAATACACATGTGATCTATAAAATGCTACAAAACTACACACATTGTCCTTCTCTCTCTCTCTCCAACACACATACACACACATACACACACACACACACACAGAGCATTTATGTCAATTTCCTGGTTTTGATATTGTTATAGTCACACATAGTATGTAACCATTGGAGGAAACTGGGTGAAAGGTAGGTGTGATCTCTACCTACTATTTTTGGAACTTCTTGTGAATCTCTAATTTCAAAATGAAGGGTTAAAAAATAGTGAGGTCTGAAAGACATCTGCTTCTCACAGTTACAAAGAAATTCCACGGCATATCTCTTTCCACTTCAATACTTTAACCCCCTTCCATATTTAAACAGGCTCAAAGCCACTGTTTTTATTATTCTCCTTCTTTCAACTTCCTTGGTTGTCAGTGAGCTGAGGCTTTGGACCAAACCACAGCTATTTCAGAGAATGAAATGAAAGAATGCCCAGGCTAAGCCTGGGGCTTGGAGCTCCATGGCCTTCCTGGCCTCTGAGAGGCCTACAGCAGTCCCACACGGGGTCTTGAAAGGTAGAGAGGCCTAGCCCAGAGCAGGCAAAGGCCAAAGCACCAGCTCTGTGCCCACCTTCTGAAACACACATCAGGCTGCTGGGGAGATGACCACAGGTGTGAGGTAGGAGGTGGCACTGGACTCCAGAAGTGGGGCTCAGACACTGGACCAGATTGAGGACTAACTAAAACACGGCCAAGGTGAAAGCAACTTTCAATCAGACCTGCCCACCAAAGTGCCATGTCAATGTACTGTTGCCATGGCAACACCCAAGCGTTATCTCCCCTTTCCATGGCATCCAATGATCCCAAAGTTATTATCCCTTCCCTGAATAAACCAGCTCTTAATCTGCATGCAGTTAAAAGTGAGTATAAATATGACTGCAAAACTGCCCTGAGCTGCTGCTCTCTGTCCACAGGGTAGCCTGGCTCTGTAGGAGCAGCCACACAGCTGTAACACTGCTGCTTCGATAAGTCTGTTTCCTTCTACTCCTGGCTTGCCCTTGAATTCTTTCCTGTACAAAGCCAAGAATCCTCTCGGGATAAGCCCTACTTTGGGGCTCATCTGCTCTGCATCGGGTGGGACAGCGACAGATGTGTTCAGCAAAGGATGGGACACACCCCGCTCTGCACAGCACTCAGCTTCACTCCTTATGCCAGCGAAATGGGGTACCCGTGGCAACTGGCTATTGGTAGCACACCAAGGAAAGGTATGGCTGCTTGCCCAAGGTTGTGGTGGACAAGAGACTGGAGGCCACATAACACTAAGGACTGTTGAAGGGGGAAGGAAGGGGTCAGGGAGGGGACGGGAACAGGTGGGAAGACTTCTTACCTGTAAAACAAGGTCTGAATCTTCATGCCTTCCAATTGTGGTACTTTTATTTAGGACAAAAAAGCCTTCTGCGCTCTTTAGATAGGCTTTCATCCTCTCTGTTTTCCCTACATAAGGTTTTCAGAAAGAATTTTGTTAGAAAATGCAGTCCTCTAATTATTCAACAACATCATACTTAGAATGAATGAAATAACCATAGAGTCATGTCCAAAGCGAGAAATCAGAAGAGGGGGGATTAGGTAGATGAGTCAACAATGATGACAAGGACAATTCTGCAGCTTTTAAAGACTATCTCTTCTAACCACGATATCTAGCATAGAAAAGCCTGGTTCTAATAATCAAACAGAGGGCATTTCTTAAGTAACTCAGGACACAAGCCAACAAAAGCTAAGACAACCTGACAACAAACCTGAGTTCCACTGATGATTGCTCTCTACCTCCCATCAAGCTTAGTATGAGGTTAGTGATCTGACATACCAAGTATTCAGGTTCTGTGTTCCTAATCCAACCCTTACTAGCTCTGTGACCTTGGGTGAATTACTTATTCTCTCTGTGACTCAGTTTCCTCATCTGTAAAATGGGTGGGGTTTTGTTTGTTTGTTTTTGTTTTTGTTTTTCTGAGACAGGGGCTCACTTTGTCATCCCGGCTGCGGGGCAGTGAGCAATCTTGGCTAACCAAAGTCTCGATCTCCTGGGCTCAAGCAATCCTCCTGCCTCAGCCTCTCGAGTAGCTGGGATTACAGGTGCGCACCACCACACCTGGCAAATTTTTTGTAGAGTCGGGGTATTGCCATGTTGCCCAGGCTAGTCTCAAACTCTTAAGCTCAAGCAATCTTCCCACCTTGGCCTCCCAAAGTGTTGGGATTACAGACGTGAGCCACCACACCCATCCTAAAATGGGTTTTGTGAGGATTAAATGCGCTAATACACGTGCAGTATCTAGAATGGTGCCTGGCACACACTGAACACTCATTTGTACTACTCTTATTAGTGTTGTCAACCTGGGCTCCTCAAACTCTGGTCCAAGGAACGCTAAACTTCTATAGAGCTTATTTGATTCGTTCATTCATATTTAGAGATGAAGTCCTGCTCTTTGGCCAGGCTGAGTGCAGTGGCACAATCACAGCTCACTGCAGCCTTGAACTCTCGGGCTCAAATGATCCTCCTGCCTCAGCCTCCAGAGTAGCTAGGAATACAGGCACGCCACCATGTCTGCTTTTAGAGTTTCTTAAAGAGTTATCATCGGAGAGGCAGGCATTAGATGATGTTTTCCTTTTTAAATCGCTGCATTTCTTCATTATTTACTTAGGGGAAAAAAGATTACTTCTAAAGGCAAAATATCAAGATTATAGCTCAGCCATGTAATCAGGACCCTGCACAGTATTCCCCCCAGCATTTTACTATAAAAGTGTCAACCATACAGAGAGGCTGAAAAAAGCAGATAGTGAGCTCCTATGTACCCACCACTAGATTCTACCGTCGGCATTTTGCCATATGTGCTTTATCACATATCTTTCCATCTATCCGTGTATCCATCCATTTTATATTGTGGTGCGTTTTGAAATAAGTTCTATACACATCTTTTAATACAAACACTTCAGTGACTTCAGAAAGTTCTAAAATGTTGACAGTAATTCATCTCGATCCTTGAATCTGATTTGAGATTATGTCTAAAGATGCAGGGTGGGAAAAAAAAAAAAAGATGCAGGGTGATATCCTCCACCTCAATGTCTTGTCAAAGAACAACAGTCTCTCTCTTTTCCTTTCAATTGAAAAGTTAGTGAAATGCCAAATTATTGGACTATGGATAAAAACAAAACTCAACTAGTTGTGGTGGTACGGACTCTCAGGGCTGGCTCTGCTTTTCATCTTCATCTCTGTCATCATTTATGGAGTCCTTAATAAGTGCCAGGCACTTTTCCTTGAATATACTCTTTTCATCCTCAGAGAAATCCTGCAAGGTAGGTGTCATTATTGTCCCTACTTTACAGACAAGGAGACTGAGATGCAGAGAGGTTAAGGTCCCCTAGCATTCGGGCAGGGAGACAGCCATTGCATGTCACCACTATATAATCCTCAGGCAGCTCAACTTTTCACACCTCCATCGCTGCTGGGTGGGGAGGGGATGGAATGGGGGAGCAGAGAGAGTGACTGAGTAGGGGGAGGGAGAGGTGTCACTTGGGACACTGAGGTTGTCACTGTTTTGTTGACACTTGGGACATGAAATAACAGATAGCCCTTAACACCAGAATTCTATCCTCTGCAAAAAAGAAAAGACCCTTGGGAGTAAGAGAAATAAAACAAACCAGAGAGTTTGTAAATTCTGAAACCTATGAGAAATCCTCAGAAATACTAATACTTTCATATAATGAGAATTTTATTTTTAAGTCTGCTATCTTTAACAGGGATAAAAAGACATTTCTTTTTCCAAAAGAATCATGCCCTGTTGCCCTCAAATTGCCTGAGTTATTAATCTTCAATCATAGAGGACTACATTATCAAGCACCACATTCAAAACTAAAGAAAAACTAATCTAAAGTCAACTTGCGAGAAATGTCTCTTTTGTGGGAAAGCCACAGGAAATGCCTCCAGAGTAAAACCCCAAATCTGAATGACTGGATTTTTTTTTTTTAGCTTTTCCCCCAGATGTTTCCACAGTTGGTGCCTTGTGGCAGCTACCTGACCACCCCAGCTAAAGGCGTCATCAGTCACTTCGTTGTCTAGCTAGCACGTGTCACGCTGTGGCTCCTTCCTTGAGCTTATCATTCTCTGTCATTTTTTTGTTCTTAGCTACATGTTTACTGTTTCCCTTTCACTGAGATATGTCCCAAGAGAGCCTGAACTGTGTTGTTTTAAACTCAATTACCCACGGGTTTCCTGTGTTTGTACCCATCTTCAGAGCAAAGACACTGACAGATTTTGTTCCCGACAATCTTTCCAAGGACATCTGCAGGGCAAATATCCTGAGGGATAGGGATAGTGTCCCCAACCAGGGCAGAGTGCAGACTTTTTTATGATAAAAATGTCATCTCCGGCCAGGCACGGTGGTTCACAACTGTAATCACAGCGCTTTGGGAGGCCCAGGCAGACGGATCACCTGAGGTCAGGAGTTTGAGACCAGCCTGGCCAACATGGTGAAACCCTGTCTCTACTAAAAACGCAAAAAAATTAGCCAGGCATGGTGGCATGCACTTGTAGTCCCAGCTACTTGGAAGTCTGTGGCAGGAGAATCACTTGAACCCAGGCAGCAGAGGTTGCAGTAAGCTGAGACTGTACCACTGTACTCTAGCTTGGGCGACAGAGCAAGACTCTGTCTTAAAAAAAAAAAAATGTCATCTCCTTCCAGGGCAAAGGTTGGGCACTGGCTAGCAGTCTCTTTTAAAAGACTGGAGTTTCCTGAGCTTGGGGTTCCTTAGCTGGGACACACACTCGCAGTGTGTACAGCATCCACCTGGGCTGTCCTGTATCACCCCGGGGAACTTGCAGGGCAAGGGGAACCAATGCAAACATGAAGCTCACAATGCCTGCTGTGCTGTGAGTAATAACATCCTTTGTCTCTGGTGCTGGAGTCTCTGGTCTTCTAGCATCATTAAGCAGTGGCAGGCTAACTTAGCTTGCAGGTAGTGTAAAAATCTGAGACCCTTTGCGGTTCCTCACAGTTCTGTTCATTACTCCAACTCTGGCCCCCAGAGCTGCCAGGCCTGACACATAGTGGTTGGTACTCAGTAAATCATGAATGAATGAAAATACAAAATAATGCTTAAAAGTAAGTCAGGGTAGCCTAAGAACCTCTGACAGTAACTACCTTTCATTTTCCCCTTCAGTATTTATCCTAGATGACATTTTGAAAAAAAAAAAAAAAAGTCTATTTCTTTAACTGAATGGGTTTGGCCATATTTCCACACTTTGATCTTGCCCTGTGCAGTCACTTTACTACCTGAAAACACTGTAGAAAGTGACTAGATGCGTTAAACTCTGTAAATTAGTTCTATGACACAGGGCACCGACCATGGAAAAGAGCAAAAGAGCTTCATTCATCTGCACTCCCTGCTTAGGGGTCAAAAGTGAGATAGAGAAGCAAAATTTCTATTGAGGGGTTACCAGATCTTAAGTGGCCTGGGAGCCCTAGAAATTCCTGAGTGTTGTATTTGGGAAGGGAGAGGTTAGGCAAGGGGGGAGTCTCTCTGACCGCTGGGTGGGTGTCATTCGTAAGTCAGGGGCAGCGGGGATGCCCCTCCTAATCCCGGCTGTACCCGCCAGGACTTCCCAGAGTGGCATGGCTGGTGCCAAGGAGGGGTCTAAAGCCCCTGGGGGCTTTCTCCGCGGGCGGGGTTGGGGCTGCACCTGGAAAGGAGGGGTTGGTGTTGGGGCACCTACTGGGGTGCTCCTGGGGACCGGAGCCTGGATCCGGGAGGATGGCGACGGGGAGCCACCCCTCCTCCTCCCAGCGCTAGTCCTCGCGGGGCCGCCCCTTCCGGTCCCCGGTCTCGGCCCGCCGCCCCTTCCCGCACCGCACTTACCTGGCGGGAGGAGGAAGCCCACGCTCCGACCTCCGCCCAGAGCCCTGCCAGCTCGGGAGGCGTCGGGCCCGCTCCCGGGCGAGGCCTCCCGGCCGCGCTCCCGCGGAGTCTCCAGTCGACACCCGGCGCACCGCGCGCCCGCCCGGCCTGTGTACGCGCGTTGCCATGGCAACGCCGCCGGGCGCCGCGGGGCCCGGCCTAACAGGTGGGGGCGTGGCCTGCGCAGGGAACGCCCACCGGGTTACCGCCTGCGGAGTGCTCCAGGCCCCACGAGCCTGCCCCATTTCACAGACGGGAAAGCGGAGGCTCATAGGTCACATAAGTGGCCCAAGGTTTTACAGAGAGGAAGGAGCACGAAGGAGATTTGATTCAAGAATCCTTTCCATTACCCCTCGCTCTAAGCTGGATGCGTTGAGGGAGGGTGGGGGGCGATAGGGAGAGGTAGGAGATTGATGGAGCTGAACTCATGAGACCCTTGGAGGTTAGTATGCCCCTGCCCTACCCACATCTCTAGTCCTTTCCTTTACAGACCAGAAAATAGAAAGAGTAAGAAGAGGGGACCTCTGGGAGTGGGGTGGGGATTGGGAAAGGGATGGGGTGGAGTGAACAATTTTGAAAGAACGAGGATTTCTTCCATGTGCTGGGGAAAAGAATTTCCAAACTCACAATCCTGCTGCTCCTGCTTCTCCCTGTTGAGTGACATTTATTCATTCTTTTGCCCTTTCTCTATCTCTGCAAACATCTTCTGAGGCCTATGAGTGTCACACACTGGTCCCAGAATACACGTGGAATAGTTACTGTCCTTAAGAAGCCCCTTGTCAGTCGGCATAGGACTCGGGGGATGGAGTGTGTTGAGATGTACAAATCCTATCTCCCACCACCTCCCACTTCTGCTTGGGGGCAGAACAGCCTTGCTGACTTTACCTAGAGAGTGATTCCTTTCAGTGGCAGGAAATGGCTGACCAGGTACCTCAAGAAAAACTCTAAACATTTTTCTAAGAGAGATGAACTATGGCACACTCTACCCTGGTGATTCGGTTTGGCTCTGTGTCCCTATCCAGATCTCGTCTCGAATTAAAATCCCCAAGTGTTGGAAGAGGGGCCTGGTGGGAAGTGATTGAATCATGGGGGCAGACTTCCTGCTTGCTTTTCTCATGATAGCGAGTGAGTTCTCAGGAGATCTGATGGTTTAAAAGTGTGGCACTTCCCCGTTTTTTCTCTCTTTCTCTCTTTCCTGCTACACCGTGTTGCAACATGCTAGCTTCCTTGCTTCCCCTTGGCCTTGCGCCATAACTGTAAGTTTCCTGAGGCCTCCCTAGCAGTGCAGAACTGTGAGTCAATTAAACCTCTTTCCTTTGTAAATTATTCACTCTCAGGGAATTACTTTATAGCAGTGTGAGAACAGACTAATACACCTAGTCAAAAGGAAGAGGATCTGAGAGAAATCATGGACATCGACTTGGGGTGGAATATATGGTGAAGATGCTCAAACGTGCCTGGAGGCTTTTAGAAATGTGGACTTCTGGGCACAGACCCCAGAGATTCTGATTTAGCAGGCCTGGGACATAATTCAGGAATGTGCATTTGCAACAAGCTTGACAAAACCCTGATTTACACAGTTGAACTGCAGAGACCTCTCCTGGAGCCTGTCCCTACAAATCTCTTCCAGGCCCTCAGTCTGGAAGGTTCTGCCTGGATCAGTTTCCTACAACCAGAAAGAGTCTAGGCATAAAATGCTAGGAGTGACCACAAGGGCTGGGACCCGAGTGATAGCTTCACAGGAACAGAGAGGGTCAGGCCCAGCTCCCCACACGTTTCTGCCTCAGAGCCTTTGGTTTTGCCCGTTCCTCTGCCTAGAATGCACTTCCCCCCGGAAGTCTCGTTTGCTTTCTTTACTTTAGCTTTTTACTCACATACCATCTTTTCTAAAATTGTTTTTTTGAAAAAATAAAACAACCACCACGAAATCTAATAACAAAGCAAATAAAAACAACAAGAACAACAAAAGCAAATGAAAATAAGGACAACAAAAGCACATCCAAACAAAATAAAAACCTCAACACTCTCTCCCTTTTCCCTTCTTTTTGCCATTTGCTATAGTTGGAATATTTGACCCCTCCAAATCTCATGTTGAAATTTGCTCCTCACTGTTGGAGGTGGGGCCTGGTGGGAGGTGCTTGGGTTATGGGGGTGAATCCCTCATGGATGGCTTAGTGCTGTTCTTGTAGGGTGCATGAGTTCTCACTCTATCAGTTCCCTAAAGACCTGACTGTTAGAAAGAGCCTGGCACCTCCCCCTTGCTCATGGTCACTTCCTCTCTCGTCATGTGATCTCTGCACATGCAGGCTCTACTTTCTGCCAGGAGTGGAAGCAGCCTGAGACCCTCACCAGAGGCAGATGCTGGCGCCATGCTTCTTGTACAATCTGCAGAACTGTGAGCCAAATAAACCTCTTTTCCGGATAAATTACCCAGCCTCAGATATTACTTGATAGCAACACAAATGGACTAAGACATCACTTATCATCAGTTCACATACTATTTCTTTTATTTATTTATGTGATTTATCGTGTCTCCCTCCCTGACCCCTGGTAGAATCTAAACTCCATGGAGGCAGGGATTTTTTTTTTTTCCCGTTTTGTTCGCTGCTGTGCCACCAGTCCCTAGAACAATGTGTGAATGAATAAATACGCAGGGGGAAGCCCCTGCCACCCTTCTGAAGCCTGGCCTCCTGTCCTCTGAGGACTGCTGGGCTGACCTGTCCTCACCCCAGGATGTCAGCTTCTCTAGTCCCTTACCCAGGCCTGAACACCACCTCCACCCTTAACCACTACCCCTCCGTGCTTGTCTTTAGTCAAACTCTTGTCATTAACATGAACCTAGGACACAAACTTGCTCACTATCAGACAGACCCTAGTGAAACCCAGGCTGGCCATGAACTGGAACAGCCCATGCCCCTCACCAGGCTTTGAGAGATCATCTGTTGCTGTTAGCTGATATCTCAATGAAAAACAAAAATTCCTAAACTGAGAGCAAAGCTGACACTCAGAATCAGTGGAGCTGAAGTTGCCAAATCTCAACTGGATCCTCTCTCCCTCAGGATGCCACTCTTATCTCAAAGGTGTGCAAAATCCTTGAAACTCAATTCCATATCATCCATTTTCATCTTAAAAACAGAAAATCAAATACCCAGTAATGGTTTTATGATATAATTTCCTGGACTGAGTAAGAGAGTTGTACCTTGCAATTAAACAGTGATGCGACATTAAAAAGATGGTCCCTGAAAAAAAGAAATTGATGTTTCTAGATTATTTGTGCTTCTTGGCAGTGCCTTCAGTTAACCTTTTATTGAACTCTCAGTGACTACCAAGCCCATATTGTAGGAAATAAGGCTCAGAGACAGGGAGAAATGTGCCCAAGGTCACACAGCTAGAAAATCTGGCAGGATTTGAATCTAGATGAATGTGACGAGGAAGGTATTTCCCCTGGAGAACTACAGGTGACACCTGTCACAATCACAAGATGCCACTTACTCACACCTGCTTTCTCTCACTTCTGAGCAGCCTGCACTCTTGTCTGTCCAAAGGTTCAGGCAGTGCCCAGGGCAGGGAGGGAAGGGGGCATAAGCCAAGAGGAGGCAGCTCAGGCCTGCCACCTACATTACCTGCTGACACTGGGTGCTGGGCTTCCTTCCTGCAGAACTTCTGCCCCTAGAAAATCTCATTCCTTCCCAGCCACCTTCCCTGGGCTGTTCTTGCCTGGGGAGAGCCCAGCCCTGTGCTCCATACTCAGAGACCTGTGTGATGTTTCTCCTGCTGCCCTTGCATTCCAACATGAATTGAATGCTGGCTTCAGGCCCCAGCCCTTGCCAGGAGAGGTGCGGAGGCTTCCTCAGCCTCTATGGCATGAAAGAGAGCCAGAGAAAGAGCAAGAACGAGAGAGTACAGAGTGCAGGAAATAGCCAAGCTGTTGAACAGGGTGACGGATGACAGAGAGCAGAGGGCCCACTAGAGACTCCAAGGCCCATTAGTAACCTGACCATATAAGCTTAGAAAGTACAGATTTTTATATACAAACCTACACACACAGACTCATAAAAATAATTTCAAACCATGGAGAGAATAACTGGTAACTGAGACTTTCTGCAGCCATCTTTGCCGTTTTCCCTGGCAGAAAATGAGAAAACATGCAGCTTCATCTCATATTGACTCTCTCATGCTGGTTTGGAACATTTAGTTATCTTGCAAATCGGTGTTCAAAGTCAGTTCCCTTTGGGTCCTTGCGCTTTGCTGTGGGGGGTCTGTCTGTACCATCTGTTCAAAAACTGCAAAGTGTGCTGGCCCCACCTGTCCTGGGCCTGGTTTTTGTTGTATTTTGTTTGTGCCTCACTTCCCTCACCTGTAAAATGGGTATAACAACAGCACTGACTGAAAGGATTAAATGGATTAAGATGTATGAAACAGTGGATCAGTGGCTGGTACAACTGAATGGCTCTATGAGTGTTTGCAATTATTGCCTGTTTTCTTTTTCTCTGATGTTGTGGGAAGAGAGCCCTAATCTCAACCCAGGTCACAAACACTCTGGAGAAACTTTGATTTGCATCAAGACTCAGTCCCACTCCAGAACAAACCCGATCTCTGGATGACTAGTCTCATATTATCTGGCTGGCTGCTCTGAGACCTTTTTAGATGTGGGTATGGATATAAGAGATAGGATGTGCTCCTTCCTCTAGTCACAACTAGAGGTGATTCTTGGGAGCCCAGTAGTCTCTATGGGGTGGCACCTGCTGAACAACTCCATAAATTCTACTTCCAGGCATGTGGGCAAACCTCCACTGTATTTTTGTGAGTGACAGTGAACCTTTATGAATGTGGTTAACAAATTCAGCTCATATTTATTAAGGCTAACAAGGTACCAACCACCATGTCATGCACAGTTTTATTTAATTCTTAGCCCAACTCATTATACAGAAGGAGAAATTGAGGCACAGAAAAGTCAAGTAACTTAACCAGTTACGAATCTTGCACACAGTGGTTCTGGAATTCAAACTCTGGCTGCCAGACTACAAAGTGCAAAGTGCTGTACTTTTTGTAAACTTTCTTTTCCCTATCTTTTTTTTTGGTTTAGATGGAGTCTCACTCTCACTGTGTCTTCAGGCTGGAGTGCAGGGGCAC